CTGACAGCTCTGACCGTCTCTCTGCAGATCCGGGTGCCCGCCTTCCTGGACCTGTTTATGCAGTCGCTCTTTAAACCGGGGGCCAGGATCAACCAGGACCACAAACACAAGTACATTCACATCTTGGCCTATGCGGCCAGTGTTGTGGAGACGTGGAAGAAGGTACCCTCGGGGACAGGCGTGTCCCACAGAATTTGGGTTGGGAGGAGGTTGGGGTCATCTGGTGTTGCCGCTGCTTGTGTCTAGAAGAGAGTGCTGACCGTGTCCAGGGCGCCTGTGTGTGGTTTCGCTCAGTGTCACCTGACGTGTGAACGAAACAGTGACGCTTATTCCCATGAGCCAGTCGTCCCGGGTTTCCGTCCTGACACAGTGGCAGGACTGTGAATTGTCACGATTAAGTGGACTCCCAGCATCCGAGGACGGGCCCCAACCCCCAGTGTCCCCTGCCTGGCGCAGAGCTCTGGCCTCTTGTTTCAGAACAAGCGTGTCAGCATCAACAAGGATGAACTGAAATCAACGTCGAAAGCCGTGGAAACAGTTCACAACTTGTGCTGCAACGAGAACAAAGGGGCCTCTGAGCTGGTGGCCGAGCTGAGCACCCTCTACCAGTGCATCAGGTGAGCCCAGGCCAAACGTGTCCTCCTCTGGTCCGGCCGGTCTGGTCCGGTTCTGCAGGCCAGGTGCCCTGTCTTCACGGTGAGCCTCGGAGTGGAAAACAGAGCTGCCGATACTTGTGCTTCTTTAAGTGTTCCTAGAGAACTTGAAGTGCTTCGGCAGCGTGGGGATATCCGGGCCTGGCCTTACCACACGTACATCCTGTACACCCCCCTCGCCTGGCCCAGCAGAGCTGACCTGGACAAGGGGTTTCTGGGTGAGAGCATGGCTCATCTGGAGGCGTCCGGCTTGTGCCGTTTAGGCCTCAGGGTTACCTGGAAAAGCTGCTGTGGCCTCTCAGGGTTTGAGTCTGTCTCCTTCGTGTGTAAGGAACAGGTGTGCTAGGACCTGAGCACTGGGGGCATATCAGTCACTGAGAGCTTTGCATGAACCATCTATCCCTCCAAGCTGGTTTGAAGAGAGCAGAGGACTGGACTCTGGTTCTTGAGAGGAGATGCTGTTGGCCTGTTTTTCCCGGCCAGCTTCCCACTGGGAAGGCAGTGCTGAGGGGACTGGTGGAGCAGGGCAGAGTGGGGAGCTGTGTGGTTTAGAACCAGACTAAACAGCCCCAGTGACGGGTGAGTTAAGGGTTGGACTGCTGTGCAGAAGTGGCAGCTGACCACTGGGAGATGGCAGTCCATTTCTCAGTTTACCCCCTGGGGGGCAGGTCTGTGCCCTCGGGGCGCTGGGAGGCAGCCTGGCCCTGCTGGCAGCGGCTGGGTTCAGAGTTGGGGTCCCTGGCTCCTTTCTCCTACCTCCTGGCGCTCACCTCTAAGGATGTGCTCACAGGGAGGTTCTCTCCCTCACTTCCCTGTAGGTTCCCAGTGGTGGCGATGGGGGTCTTGAAGTGGGTGGACTGGACTGTGTCAGAGCCAAGGTACTTCCAGCTGCAGACCGACCACACCCCCGTACACCTGGCGTTGCTGGATGAGGTAGGCACGGGGGTGAGGTTGGCGGTGTCCCACACCTGTGTTACTGTGTTCAGCCTGGCATTGCCAACATGCTGGTTCTGGAGTCCAGGCGGCTTCCTCTGCCCCTGCTCCCTTCCTCAATCCGTGGTTGACGGTTTTCATGAGAAGCCCGAGGAATGGCCGGGGAGCCGAGCAGCCGCAGGCCGTGTGTCAGTGATGCGCGGGTGTTGGTGTCCAGGGGGTGACAGCTGCGCCACGCACCCTGAGTGTGGAGTGCGGCCCCTGCAGAGCGAGCGCCTCTTACTTACAGATCAGCACCTGCCACCAGCTCCTGCACCCCCAGGTCCTGCAGCTCCTGGTCAAGCTTTTCGAGACGGAGCACTCCCAGCTGGATGTGATGGAGCAGGTGAGCAGTCACCCTGGGCCTGTCCTGGGGCCGGGGGACAGGTGAGCGGTCACCTGACAGGCTGACGGGCTCCTCTTCCCGCCCCGCCACCGTAGCTGGAGCTGAAGAAGACCCTACTGGACAGGATGGTCCACCTGCTGAGCCGAGGCTACGTGCTGCCTGTGGTCAGTTACATCCGCAAGTGTCTGGAGAAGCTGGACACGGACATCTCCCTCATCCGCTACTTTGTCACGGAGGTCAGCAGTGCCCAGCGTGCCCCTGGCATCGTCTTAAGTCAGGACTGTGCTTCCTGACAGCACTGGGGTGGACATTGCGGCAGCTCCCCCAGCGCCTGCCACCCAGGGTCATAGTTCAAGGGGCGGGTGTGACAGTGTGGCTCTCCCTCTGCCGGGGTCCTGGGGTCCGGGCATGTGGGTGGTGTGACAGCATGACACCCCCTCTGGAGTCCTGGGGTCCAGGCACCTGGAGCAGTGTGACAGTGGTGGGGCCCCAGGCTCTGGGCATGTGAGGCACTGTGATGGCCCTCCCTCCCCTCCAGGTGTTGGATGTCATCGCACCCCCCTACACCTCCGACTTCGTGCACCTCTTCCTGCCCATTCTGGAGAATGACAGCATCGCAGGTACCATCAAAACGGAGGGCGAACACGACCCTGTCACTGAGTTCATCGGTAGGTTGCCCGGGGGGCCCTTGCCCGCATGTCACGCCGTGCCCAGCCTGCTTCTAACCCAGGTCTCTTTCCTTCTCTTAAAGCTCACTGCAAATCCAACTTCATCATGGTGAACTGAGCTACAGCAGAACCTTCCAGAACAGTGTGGAGAAAACCATCGTTTGAAAAGGCTTGATCAGGCCCTTGGCAATGGGCTCTGCAGGGTCTGTGGGAGCTGGCCCTCAGAAATGTCCCCTCGGCTAAGCCCACCCTTCACCCTGGGAGGACATCCAACCGTCCTCTCGCGAGGACCTTCCTTTGGGGCCCTGGGGCGGGAAGAAGTCAAGAACCAAGGTGATGAACTACTCTCAGAGCTGACTTCATGTTCCTCAAAAGGCGAAAATCAGTGAATTGATGTTTTATTGTAATTGCTGCTGGTCAATTAAAACACATTTTTTTAAAAGCTCCCTTTTGCTGGGTTGCAAAGTGTCAGACAAGCCGCTGCCGGGTGAATAAGCACACTCGGGCTCAGCACATGTGTGACGGGACGTTTTATTCAACTGAGCCCAGAAATTACCTCTCGTCCCCCCACTGGCTCCGGGGTGACGTGAGAGGTGGCCAGTCCGCGTGGCGTTACTGCATGTGGCACACTGTAGAGCACAGCGGGCGAGAAGCCAGAGCAGAAGCTGAGCAGGTCGAGGGCAGACAAGCTGATGTCCCTGCAGGAGCCCCGCGCTGTGCCGCGCTGTGCCACGGGACAGATGAGCACTGTCACGCATGTGGCACTGTCCGTGGCCTGGCAGCCCCTGAGACACTGAGCACCACCCAGGTCCCTTGGCTCCCGGGCGTCCCAGCCCTCAGCACTGGGCCGCGCCCCACCCCGTTCTGTTTGTGCTGACGCTGCCACAAGCTCCTCTTCAGACAGGCCCGCCTTACACGATGGGGTCCCCGAAGGTGCAGGCCTGCTCTATGGCCAGGTTGTACTTGTCACCCTGCCCGTCTTTGTAGGTACTGGTGACAATCCTCATCCAACCTCTCTCACCCTGTGAGGAAAAGCGAAGCCATTAAGTCACCTCAGTGCTCCTCCCCTCTGCCCACCCCGACAGAACCCACTATCATCCGGTTACCCCCATGTCTCTCCTTAGCAGCCCTGTTCCTGACACAACCCACCGCCCTCTGTCACCTCCGTGCTCCTCCCCACCGCCCTCCGT